TAGATGCAATGGAACTGGGGAGACACGTTGCCTGTTCTTGTGTTCAGCACTAACGGTACACTGGATGCATGATTGGGAGAGTGGCAAAGGAATATGCCTACTCGACTCCGATCCGCCCATTTGTTGTGCGAATGTTGGGCTTGCAAGCTGTCTTCAAGCACGTACACCGGAGATCCGAAAGGGTGAAAATGATCAAGATTTGGTTCCACTTCAACTTGGGCCATCTTTGATATGGGAGATTCTTCGTATTTGGCATGTTGCTTGATGCGTCCTCTCACTTTGATTTCAGGTGTGTATTTGGTTGGAAGCGAATTCTTCAGATTAGTGTAGTTCTTGAGAGCGGCTGGCCACAGAGCCGCATGAATGGCATCCGGCCATCGATGAGCAGCATGAATCAATGCAGTTCTTGCCCCTTCTGTCACTTCTTTGATCTTTCTCTCGGCTTTCCCATTCTGATGGTGCGCATTGACACCACAGAACGTCAAACCTTGACCGGCCTTAGTAATTGAATTGCGAAAGGCCTTGGTGTCGAATAATCCGTTATCAGCATGGTAATGTCGGATGGACACTCCATGAGTAGCACACTCTCGTTCAAACGCAAGTTTCGCAAGAACGGTTTCCTCTGCATTCATTGCCGTCATCAAGTGTACATATGTGAAGTCGGTGAAGTGGTCAACAAATACAGTAGCTCCAACGTATCGGGCAAGCGTTGGGGTGCCTCGATGAGTTGGAACAAATCCTGGGGTTGGGCTGATCAACTGATCGACGCTGACAACTTGTCCCGAATGAGTGGCAGGCTTGATTTTGCGCTGCTTCTTACTGTTTCTCCAAGGCTTTCGATGCGCTTTTCCGTATGCACAACCAGGACACTTAGGTGGATCAACACTTGCCAGCTCCCTGGGAATCATTCCAGCTCGAGCCATCATCTGTAATTTTGGATAAGGGAGATGTCCGTATCGTTCATGGAGGATGAACAGTCGGAGCTGCTTTCGTCGAGTCATGGCAATGTCTGGATCAAAAGTTTTCGCTCCTTCGGCAAGGTTAGGGTCGTCAAAGGTGACTTGTCGAGGCTGTATGTCTGGCTGCTTTGTTGAGGCTCCCTCGATTGCCGATGAGTTTCCTTCAGTGGAGGCTCCCTCGATTGCCGATGAGTCTCCCTCAGTTACCAAACTTGGACTTGGTGGAGCTCCCTCAGATGCTGTCATTGGAGCTCCCTCAGAATCTGAATCGATAGAAACAATTGTGGCTTTGGACTTGAAGTGAGTCGTCCCTGAGTACGCATGCCAGTTGTGATCGCATCCACACTTGGTAGCAGGATTGCATTCATCAGTGCTGGTACTCATGCAAAAGTTCTTGTAACCAGGCTCTGATCAAAATACAAACAAGTCTCTGTTGTCAATCTTCACATTGATTTCATGCTGCTCCTTTTGGCTTGGTGCTGTGAATGCAATCTTGTACTCGCTGTCGTTATGGCGGGGCCATTCTGGTTCCCAACCAGCAGATTTCATCGCCTTGTATACCAGTTGAGGTGGCATGATGTTGAATGGAGACGTCGGTACAACCACGGCATCTACTTCAATTTGATCGGTGGTGCCGGGTATTGGCAGTGACAATTTTCCAATTCCAGTAATGTTTGTTGGAGATCCATTGATTCCTTTGATTCCTCCTTTGAACGGCCGAAAGTTGGTAAGCATGGTAGAGTGTCTTACAATGAATCTGTTGGCCCCAGAGTCAAAATGCCATTCCAAACTGTCGGTGTCAGCAATGAAGCAGAATGGCTGGTTCCAAATGTGTTCTGGTTGGAAAGACGACGAGTTGGAATCAGTAGGCAATGCACTGAAGCTTGCCAAATTCAATTGAGTTATGTTTTCGATTGATGTCCAAATGAGTTGTTGTTGTCGGAAGTTGTCAAGGGAAGTTCCCGGAACCAATGCATGTGATGTGCCAGGCAAGGCGTAGACTTGTGAACGGTCAAGTAGACCAAAAAGAGTGAAGAACCAAAGGATTTTTGTCCATGAATACGATGATCGCTTGACAGTGTGTTTCAAAGTAAATGGAGCTTGCTTGATGTGCTTTTGAGCATATGGGCAGCACCACTGGATGGGAATACGGACATTGGACAATGTGGCGATGGAAGAATCGCAGTATGTAACTTGGGCATCTCGAAACGAGACAGAAAATAGAGGGCTGAGGCGAGGTGAAAGGGGTCCAAGGTAGGAATCCTCCCTCTCTATCCTCCCTCTCTATCCATCGCACAGGGAGCCAAAATGGAAGGTAGTAGTACCAAAAAGTGTTGAGGGCCAGGTAGGCCAAGTGGGTAAAGTGGGAAAGGTAGCGGAAGGACCAAAAGAGTCAAGGTACGACAAGGGAATAAAATAGGAGGCCAAAGATGTCGGCAAGAGGCCAGGGCAAAGGTGTACAGAGAATGCAGAGATAAACTGAACAAACTAGATTACGAATGCGCTGGCATACCCATCAGTTCTGTTTTGCTGCTTCCGTCATGGCTTGACCAAGACAAGTCATCAGCGCTTCATCTCCGAAGTCAGAAACCATGCCCATAGCATCAGCGAGAAGTGCTTGTAGGGAAGAATTGTCGCCAGTAGTAGCAGCGCCATCGCCAGTGGCAGCGGTGCCATCGTTTGTAGCTAGCAACCACTTGTCACAAGTTTTGCAGTCTTTTGTAGGGTGTGTGTGTCATTTGTTCTTGTCTCGATGAGTTGGGCAGTTGCAAAAATGCCATGTGGTCCCCTTGAAATCTTTGGTATCACCAACAATGTACGGAGCGTTGCCTTCAGACTCTGGTTTCTTGAAGTGCTTAATGAATGGAGGGAGCAACTTGCTTGATGGCGCAGTGGGGTTTCGACCGGGCTTCTTGGCAGGTGGCTTGTTGTCTTCCTTCTTGTTGTTCTTGGCATCAAAATACTTCTTGGCGTCTGCAGTCATAGCAACCACATCTTCGGTCAGAGTAGTGGACTTCCAAGCATGGCTTTGGCTCTTGTCTACGTTCAGTTGATTTGCTTTTCTGGCTGCGTTTTGCATGAAAGCAGGATAAAGGCTGGCGCCCCCAGCAGGAGCATTCATTTGGCCTTCTTCAAAGTCAGTGATCTTCTGTTGTACCCACAAGAACCAAGCATGAGGCTGTTTGATTCGACTGTAGATCGTGAGCAGCAGTTGGATGCATTCTGGGTCAGAAAGGGAGCGAGCCGAAGTGGTGGCCAGAGCAATCAGTTGGCTTGCTTTGGCATTGATCCTTTTGATGTCAAAGTCAAAATCAGCCGGATCAAGAATGCCAAGGTCTGTAAGGGCTTGCATGGATACAAGAAGGGACGCTGGTGCGGTCGTGTCAATGATGGCTTTGAACAATGTGGGTCGATCTCCTTTTCCAAGAGTTGGCATGCTGCCATTCAAACCAAAGAGTTGAAGCTGCAGTGCGGGAGAAAGGCTGCTTTGCAAAAAATTTGAAAAGCCAGGAAGAATTTTGTATGGCTCGAGGGTCCGTTCTTAGAGTAGCTTCACTAACAATATCAGTCATCAAAATGGAGTGATAGTGCGTTAGCAGGTTCTTGCCTCCAAAATCTAGAATGCCAGTGGGTCCTGCAGCTTCCATGTAAGTTTCGCTGCAGTGGGACTTAAGGGCCTGTATCCAGAGAACAATCTCTGTTTCTTTTCCTGTAATTTCGATTGGGAGTTTAGCAGACGCCTTGTCTGCGGCGGCGGCGCCACTGCGTGAGGATAGGTCAACTGGTTGCCCAGAATCATGAAGGTTGTACACTGCAGTATGAGCAGGAGGTGCAGGAGCCGCTGCAGCTGCTGCTGCCGCTGTTTGCTGTGCTTGGAGTTGTGCAAGGAACTGAGCGCCAACCTGAGGTAGGGCAGCAGTCATGGCGGCGACTTGTGCATCTACGTTGGCCATGGCTGTACGGATTGCACGGCGCGATCTGGTGTCGATCTTGAAGTGTTAGAGCGCGAAGGGGCTCAAGAAGAAGAGGAGCGAGGGGCTCAAAATGATTGAGTGAAGACTCAAGAAGGAGCGGTGATGGCTAAAAAAGAACGATTCGGAGAGGAAGATCTTTGTTACAAATCATTGGGCTCAAAAACCTGTGATCTATTTGATGTTTCGATGCATAAGGCTTTTGTTTTGAAAAGCAGATTGTCGATGTTGTTTTTCAAAGAGCCGTTGTTTGTTTGAAAGTATTCAAACGACCATGGCCAACGATCAACATCTGTAATCGACTTAAAAGCTCACCCTACTCGGATTAAAGATCGATTCGAGCAATTCAAAGATATGACTCTCAAAGGTGATAAATCTCTCAAGACCGCAAATGCACAATACATCCGCAAGGACAACGAGGAGCAAAGTCTTCATCTGCTGAACTCAACGTACTCTCTTTGTCCATCAAATAGTGCATAAGTGTGAAAAGGTACTTGACAAACGCAAAATCATTCTCTTGGGTAGCCTCATTGCAATTCTCATGATCGACAATCAGGTGAAATATCATGACGATCGAAAATGATGAGTATTTTTTTGATTTTTGTGTCAGTCTGCCCCCGGTCGTGTCGGAGGGAGTGTCTGCCATACGTGCAGTACAAAGGATAATCTGTCCCAAAGCACCCCGGAGCTTAGAAGGCTATAACTCACAAGCCAAGTGTTCTTTTTTCATGCGGCCTGGATAGGATTAAAGCTAACGATCTAAGCTAGAAGTTTTATATGGGCTAAATTTTTATTCTACTGATATCGAATAAGGTACAGTTCTGGCCTCCCCGAATCATGCACTTTTTTGTAGGGCTGAGTGGCGGACGGACCGTTAAACATGAATTCATCAACCATACCCAGCCGGATTACAACGGAACAAAGAATAGATGATAGAAGTCTTGTTGGCATCAATGATTGAGAACAAGCACAAGCTTAAGGATAGAGTTTACAGATGCAGCAAGCGTGCTTTGCAGAAGCACCAGCAGCATTCTTATATTTTTCAGCTCCAGCACACCAACTTGGTTGCTTGGTATACCCGGCACATGTATCATTGCAAGTATCCTTCCATGCCATATCGTCTTTGCAGCTGCCGTTGCATCCACAGCATGCCTCCTTTGGCTTCTTGGTGGCAAGGGGTGTGATTGGTTTGCCTCCATGACTCAAATCGCACTTGCCTTGGCTCTAAGGGCGGATTTCAATGGATTGAAAATTGTTAACATAAACATGCGGCAAGGTAAATAACAATCAAATATTTTTGAAACTGACCAAAACGTCTTTGCATGTGAATTTGAAATAATTAGTACCACTATTGTGTTCCTACAGTTTGTAACCTTCAGTATCCTTGCAGGTACTAGAGCCAGGAGCAGGGGCAGCAGTCGGGGGGAGAGTAATTGTTGAAGATGTATTTTGTGATATTTTCAGGTTGGAGAATGAGGAGCAGAAACACGAAACGAAGCATTAGAGAATGGGTCATCTTGTGTAAGATTGAACAGTGCCTGACAATAATGTGAGAAGTATTGACAAGATCAAAGCAAGATCAATACATAAGGAGAAGTGAGTTGAATGCAGTCATGGCAAGATACCAGATGCT